TGTAATATTGGAAGGTTCTATGGGCAAAACTTTGAAGGATGCAGGAAGCATCAAAAGATGAAAAGAATACAGTCAATATTGTATCAAAAAGAGCTAGTTGATATTCAGCCATTTCAAGAGGTAGCATATGAGTAAGAATCAATGGTACAAGGAAGATGTTTAAGCCGCACTTAAAGTAGTAGCCACAAACAAGGCTCCAGGCATTAATGGGATACCAATAGAAATGTTTCAACAAGCCGATGAAGCACTGAAGCTCTCGCTGATCTATGCCAGGAAATTTGGAAGACAGCTACTTGGCCAAGTGACTGGAAAAGATTATGTTTGTGGCAGTTACATAATCTCCTGTCAACCTGAGTGAACGGTTGGAGTCTAGCCTATCAATCAGGTCATAGCCAATGAGGCCTCTGTGTGGGCAGGACCTTCTCCTGAGAATTCTGGGAACTCATGTCTTCCTCCCTGGAGGCAGGACACACTCTCTCTGCCTTCCCCTTTCCTGCTGTTGAGACACTCAGAGAACTGGAGGAGCCCCATGTGGAGACCTGTGCCAATGCTGAGATGCTTCCACTGCCACTTGGATCCACAAGACTTTCTACCCACCAGCCTATGATCTTCCTGCATTCGGGACCACTGCATGTGCTGCGTGTCCAAAGAGGAATTTATGGACCAATATCAGACATATGGGCTACTATTGGACTTAGGACTTGGTCTGGACTGGACTGGGATGTTTTCTTAATGTACAATTACTCTTAGATATGCAACTCTCTCTCACACACATATGAGTGTCAATAACTTTGTTTCTGTAGTTGACCCAGACTAACACAATCTTTGTACCCATTTCAAAGGAAAGTGACCCAATTGAATACACAGATTATAGAACAATATCATTAATATTACGTGCAAGTATAATTTTGCTGAAGTTCATTTTTGCTGAGGGACTTGAGGCATCTGCTGATGACGATGAAGGATACAACTCAATGTAAAGAAAACCAGAATCCTCACAACTGGACAAATAGGTGACATCAAGATAAATGGAAAAAAGGTTGACGTTGTCAAGGATTTTATCTTGTTTGGATCCACAATCAATGCTCATGGAAGCAACAGCCAAGAGATCAAAGGGCAAATTGCATTGGGTCAATCTGCTGCACAAGACCTCTTTAAAGTGTTGAAAGCAAGGCTATTACTTTGAGGACTAAGTTGCTCCTGACCCAAGCCATGGTCTTTTCAGTCACCTCATGTGCATGTGAAAGTTGGATATTAAATAAGGAAGACTGAAGAATTGATGTATTTGAATTATGGTACAGGTGAGAAATATTGAGAGCAAAAATAGGAGGACCTCAACCAGATGGATTGGCACAGTGACTGCATCAAGGGGCTCAAACATGAGAACAATTTTGAAGATGGCACAGTACCAGGCAGTGTTTCATTCTGTTGTACAGAGTCACTAAGAGTTGGAACTGAATTGATGGCACCTAACGATAGGAATAAAAACAAAGCAAACAAACAAACAAAAACCAATAGGAATAGCATGGTTTCTTAATGCAGATATCGCCAATTTGATTCTTGTGCATTTCATAGGGTGAGGTCCACATGTATTGGTGCCATATAAGTTATTGAAAAAAGCATTTGTGATGAAGAAATCATCGAACTTGCAGAATTCTATCATGTTTGTTTCTATCACCAAGGCCATATTTCCAAATACTGATCCTTTCTTTGTTTCCAACTGCAGCATCCCACTTGCCCATAATTATCAATGCATCTTACATGTGGTCAATTTCAGACTGGAGAAGGTGTTAGAATTTTTCAAATTCTTCGTCATTGACTTTCGTGGTTGAAGTGTAAATTGAGTGGTAGTTGTATGAACTAGTCTTCCTTGTCAGTTTATCGATATTATCCTATTACAGACAGCATTACTTTTCAAGGTAGATAGACCCTGAAATGTTCTTTATGATGATGAATGTGATACCCTTCGTTTTGAATGGTCATTCCTGGCATAGGAGACCATATGATTGTCTGATGCAAAGTGCCTCATAGCAGTCCATTCCAGCCCACTAATGCCTTAGACATCAATCTTTATGCATTTCATTTTATTTTTGATGTCTTTTAGTTCTCTCAGACTCATACTTGCTTAGATTCATATTTCACATTCTGATTATAAATGAGTGGTTGCAGCTGTTTCTTTTCATTTTGAGGCATGCCCACCCCATCAGCAAATAAAAGTCCTTAAAGCTTTGCTCCACCTACATCCATCCATGGAAGATGTTGACTCTACGTTGGGAAGGCAATTCTCTCTCTCTTTTTTTAAAAAATCATTTTATTGGGAGCTCATACAACTCTTATCACAATCCGTACATACATCAATTGTATAAAGCCCATTTGTACATTCGTTACCCTCATCATTCTCAAAACATTTGCTCTCCATGTAAGTCCTTGGCATCAGCTCCTCATTTTTCCCACTCCCTCCCTACTTCCTCTCTCGATGAACCCTTGATAATTTATAAATTATTATTATTTTGTCATATCTTACACTACCCAATGTCTCCCTCCACTTACTTTTCCTTTGTCTGTCCCCCAGAGAAGGGGTTATATTAGATCTTTGTAATTGGTTCCCCCTTTCCACCCACCCTCCCTTTACCCTCCCGATATCACCACTCTCACCACTGGTCCTGAAGGGATCATCTGCCCTGGATTCCCTGTGTTTCCAGTTCCTATCTGTACCAGTGTACATCCTCTGGTCTAGCCAGATTTGTAAGGTAGAATTGGGATCATGATAGTGGGTGCAGCGGAAGCATTTAGGAACTAGAGGAAAGTTGTATGTTTCATCGTTACTACACTTCACCCTGACTGGCTTGTCTCCTCCTCACGACCATTCCGTAAGGGGATGTCCAATTGCCTATAGATGGGCTTTGGGTCCCCACTCCGCACATCCCCTCATTCACAATGATATGATTTTTTGTTCTTTGATGCCTGATACCTGATCCCATTGACACCTCATGATCACACAGGCTGGTGTGCTTCTTCCATGTAGGCTTTGTTGCTTCTGAACTAGATATCTGCTTGTTTACCTTTAAGCATGTAAGACACCAGACTTTATATCTTTTGATAGCCGGGCACCATCAGCTTTCTCCACCACATTTGCTTATGCACCCGCTTTGTCTTCAGCTATCATATCGGGGAGGTGAGCACACAATGATATGGATTTTTGTTCTTTGATGCCTGATAACTGATCCCTTCAGCACATGATCACACAGGCTGGTGTGCTTCTTCCATGTGGTCTCTGTTGCTTTTGAGCTAGATGGCCGCTTGTTTACCTTCAAGTCTTTAAGACCCTAGATGCTATATCTTTTGGCAGCTGCACTCCATCAGCTTTCTTCACCACATTTGCTTATGCACCCACTTTGTCTTCAGCGATCGCGTTGGGAAGGTGAGCATGATGGAATGCCAGTTTAATAGAACAAAGCATTCTTGCATTGAGGGAATACTTGAGTGGAGGCCCAATGTCCATCTGCTACCTTAATACTAAATCTGTAAATATATTCACATAAATCTATCCCGATCCTCATATATAAATATATTTACATATGTGCATGCATTTATGTAGATCTCTATAAATGCCCTTTGAGGAAGGCAATTCTTTACCACTCATATTTTAAGTGCCTTTCACCTGAACAGTTTGTCTTCTGGCATGATATCTGACAATTCATCAGGTTATCATTGATGAATCCCTCAGCAACAGACAGCTTATTCCTTCTTCCTGTTCTGTTCTTTGTCTAGAAGCTCTGTTGACTTGGGTGACCCTGCTAGTGGCATTGCTTCCAGCATCACAGCAACACCTAACCCACCACCGTCAAACAAATTGATGAGTGGTGACACTTCATGACATGCAAATCACTAAAACCCATTCTGTCCAAAGTCTGTTATTTTTTTTAAAGAAATGCATTACTCTATTTTTTTTAATATGGTCACAGTAGCCCTCAGTGGTATACTAGGTTTCTTCAGTGCTTTGAACCACAGAAAAAATGGATGTTCTTTATTGAGAGGTTTCTTTAATAAGAAAGAAAACATGAGGACCACCTGTGAACAGTTTACTCACTTCAACAATCAACTGCTTGAGACCAAGTGGTCAACACTTACCCCAAAGCCGAGGAGGGAAGGCAAGAAGGGAAAGGGAAGCTGGATCAGTGGAAACAGAACAAACAGAGTGGAAATAATGAGCATGCAGACACATTGTGAAAATTATAAGTAAAGTCACAAGACAATTAGTGGAAAATTGTCCAATTCTGAACCCTATTTGTCAGGTAAACTTTCACCCCAAACATGATACAATACTAAAAAGGAAGAAGAAAAGGAAGGAGAAGGAGGAGGAGGAGAAAGGGAACAAGAGCAAGATCATTCTGAGAAAACTGTATGTAAAAATGAATTGTCTTGAAACAATGAAAGTGGCGGATGCAGACATAGGCTATCGGCACCTTTTCTAGATCGAAGCCAACATGATTTCTCGAATGCATTCACATTTCCATTTTGATCGCCCTCTTGGTAAGTTTGCAGTATTCCGCCCCTGAGTTGGAGAGAGCTTCCTAACGGGGATAAAAAGAATAAGACAGAAAGCAGGCCTTGTGAAGGTTTCAAACTAGACGGAGAGAAGACGGAGGGAGGGTCAAAGAGTGATGTGACATGACCAAGAATCACTGGGAGAGCAGGTTAGAGCCAGGGGGGAGGGTGTATGAGGCATTGCTCCCATTGAAAAGCGTTCTTTTCTTTGAAATGCAGGCGAGGATGAGGGCAGGCAGAAAACACTGGGTAGCTGTTGTTGTGCACAGCACCTTTCTGATCCATTTTAGCATTTTTAAATAATTGGTATGACACCGATAAGAACAAAAATCATCTGAGCAACATAGCACTGTAGATGATGACGTCTCCATACAGGGAAACTAAACATGCCCACATCAGCCGTGTATGGCTCCCAATGCCATTATCTTTCTACTTCCTCCTGGACTCCTGGCATGAACCAGGCCAGCGTGGGCAGATACAAGGTGCGGAAGCTGATGAGTAATGCAGAGCTCGGACAAGCCCAGAAGAAGGGGAGACGGACAGAAAACGTGCCCCCACTCTCTCATGCGCCCCTCCACAGAGGCGGGGACTTAATCCTGGAGTCACTTGGCTGGGATGCCTTCTCTCACTTACGGTTGCTGTGTTTCCATGCTGATAGAGTTCATATGCTGTGGACTCCAGGCCAAAGTGAAGCGAAGCCCACCGGACCAAACCAGACCAGACAAACTCCAAGCAAGCCCCCTGCAATTGAGTGGATTCCAGCTCATAGCGACCCTGTGCAGTTCCTGAGATGGTATAATTCTCCATGGGGGCAGACAGCCTCGCTTTCAAGCCTGGCCAATCAGTTCCCTGCACGTCTGTCCCCTGCTAGCCGTCAACGTGCATGTTCAAATTCTCAACATCAAAGGCTTTTCTTGGGATGTATTGGTAAGCAAAGGTACTTATGCCAGCTTGTTCCCGGGGATGGTCAAAGTCACTAGTGACAGATGATACCAGTGTTGTGTCTAGGCAGCTTGCCTGCGAGCCAGTGTGTTTCTGTATAAATCTCAGGCTTCAAACACTACATTAGAACTCCCCTGTCCAATGTCAACAGGCCTAATAGGTGGGTAAGATCAGAGCCTTGGGGGCTAGGTAAACCTAGATTTGAATCTTTTTTCCACTCCACAACTCACACAACTTTGGCAACATGGCTTAAAGTCTCTGAATCAGTTTTGCCACTTCCACCACAGGGGTGACTGTGCTTACTCCCCAAGGTTATTGGGAGGAGCCAATGACAAGGGCTTGGTAAATAAACGGAAGCCATCATTAGTGCTATTATTAGTAGACAAGTTTCAGGAAAGCCAAAGAGGAAGTTTCCAGAAAGAGATGGAACCCTTTAATTGCCCTCAGGGCTCACTACCTAATAGTCCATTCCCCATCTCTGACACTCTGCCCCAAGTGGGTCAGCGCTTCATTTCCTGATTGTCTGAATGAGGCCCAGCTGCATTCTTGGAGGAAGAGCGGGGCAGCCTGGGCTTGGCTGAGGCCTCTTGATGGGAGGGTAGTGCAAGGAAAGGGCTGCTTTAGCGAGGCGGGGGAACAACCTGTAAAAAAGAGAGCTCATTCCACAGCAGGACCCGCACCAATGAATCCAAATTAAGCAAAGAAAACTCCCAACTCAACAGGCAAGCTCTTCAAGTGGGGCATCTCCCGGGCACCCGAAGCTTGCTAATCAAATGTTTCTATGTCAGTGAGTATCAACAATAACAGAGAAAGGTGTGATTTGGTTGGCCAACACCCACCGCGAAGGCCTATAAAAGCCCCTATGGACGAGATGTCTTTCGAACACAAGTCGACCGAGCTTGTAGCTCTTCAGGAAGGCGAGAGAGCATCAGCATCGTGGTGGACACTTGTCCTGGAAGCACCATGTCCATCCCAGCTGTGCCCACTATCTCCATATGTCCAAACAGTGACAGCTTCCGGAAATCCATTTGCTTGCCCAGTTCCTGCCAGAGCAGGACATGGCAACTAGTCACCTGTCAAGAAAACCGTCAGCCATCCAGCACTGTCCCAAGTGACTGTGTACCTGCTTCTTGCCGAACGACCTGCCTTCCATCAACTTCTAGTGTGGGTTTTGCCTGCCAACCCCTTTGCTCTTTCCACAAAGCCTGCTGTGAATCTGGCCCGGCTCAGTCCACTTGTTTGGCTAACTCCTGTCAGCCACCCTGCTCGGAATCTGCTGGATGTCAGATCAAGGGTGGTGGTGCCAGCCTCTGCCAACAAGGTTCCTGCCAGGAACCTGTTTGTGTATCCAGATCCCACCAAGAAGCTTGCCACCAATCAGTCTGCTTTGACACAAGATCCTGCCATCCCTCCTGCCCTGAGGTAACTCCCTGTCCTGAAACATCATGCCCGCCCACCATCTGTGTGTCTGACCCATGCCAACCCTCTTGCTGTCAAGCAAGTTCGTGTCGGCCCATTGGTTGTGAAAGCCAGCCTTGCACCACTTATTACCAACCTGTCTGCTACATGTCTAAGCCTTGTCCATCGGTTTCCGGCATGTGTGTTCGCTGCCAGCCATCGATGTACGTGTTCAATCCTTGCAGTCCTCTTTGCTGGGTGCCTTCCTCCTGGCACCTGCTTCCCTGCCAACCAGCGCCTCGCCCATCTTTTATCTGTCAGCCAGTGGCTAACTGTCAGCTCCCTTGTTCTGTAAAGAACCCTTGTAAATCCGTTCCCGGTGGCACCAGGCTTCCTGGCAAATCAAACGGTGGTGGGCCCCCTTCCTGCAACCCCAATGCCTGCAAATCCCCTCCCTGCCAACCAGCTTGCTGCGTGACAGGTTTAGGCAAATCATCCAGCGGTGTCTCCAATGGCTTACCAGCACCTTCGACAAGCTTCTGCAAAGCGAAGGACCGTGTGCCGACTCCCTGCCAACCTGGCCCAGAGTGCAGCTTCCGGAAGGCCACACTTCACTGACGGGGAGCGATGGCACCTCCCATGCGCATCTGCCGGCATCGCATCTGCCGGCATCGACACGTGCACACTGTGCATGTCTGTCTCCTGCCCAGCACAGAGCTGCCCATTTTCCAATTTCCCTCCGAGTCCAACCTCGGGCTCTATCCAGGCGCTCCCGAGGGAACGTGTCCCACCAAGAAGAGACTGCTTCTTAAGCAACATGCCCTTTCGGCAGCAACGGTCAACGCCACAGCTTGCAGCTTGGCGTTGTCAAGTCGTTTCACTTCCGCAAAGCCCGTGTCATCTTTGATGTTGCCCTGTCTGGAAGAAGGCTCCTTGACTGCTGGTGAAAGGGAACCTGGTTACGCATGACAACTAGGACTCCCCCTTCGTGTGTTCTCTGCTCCTTTCAACAGACCCTTACACGGATCTCTTTCAGGTCTCATTTGAAGACTGTCACCCTGGACGCTCTAAGGCCCCCTTTGCCTCACTCTCCATGCGCTCTTGAGAGATGATGTGCAGTTCTCTTTGCTCTCTACCAGTGTCCACCAGGGGTCCTCAGAGTGTACCACTGGGCTGAAGACAGAAGTATGGGAGCGAAGGTTGGTAAGGAATTGAGGACCAATCCAACTGTGTTCCTGCTCACCAGCAAGCAGTCTTTTGCGATGAGGGGTCTCGGTTTCCCCTTCGTGAAGAAATGAGAGAAATGCTGCAGGGAAGCCTGGCTTGAGCTCAACCAGAAGGAGCCCTGGTGTAGCAGCGGTGAAGGGTTTGGCTGTGAATGGAAAGGTCAGCGGTTCAAACCTCCCGGTCACCTGTGGGAGAAAGATGTGGCAGTCTGCTTCTGACAAAGAGTACCACCTGGGAAGCCTGATGGGGCAGTTCTTCCCTCTCCCATTGGGCCATTAGGTGCAGACCTCCACCTGACGGGAACGTGTTGGTGTGTTTGCTCATTGAACATGTTGGTGTGTTTGCTCATTGGTCCTGGAGAGCGGCTCGGCGTTCATTTCCTCAATACTGGTGGGACAAGGCAACGACGTCTAATTCCAATAAAATGTGAAGCTCTTGAGACGGTTTTGTTTTTCTTCCTTCTCGCATTTGCTGTTTCCTTTGGGGGCATTTTAAGGAATCATTTTTACAACCATCAGGTGAAGGGACTTCTGACAGAAGTTTGTATTGCTAGCATGGAGTCATGGAGTGGAACTTCTTTTCTTTTTTTGGGGGGGTATAGTGCACTTTATTGATGGTACATGACAAGGTCGAGTTCTCTAAGCCCCTCCCCTTCCGTCAGGGGGTCTGGATGGAATATTCTCAGGGTGTTGGGGGATTGAATTGGGGGCAAAGACTCCCCAGCAGCTGAGGGCCTCTCTTCCTCTAGTGCTGTTGCTGGG